TGGGTGTCGTTCGGTGCTGTTTGTTGCAGAGTCTAAGAGAGGGATGGATACACAGGCAGAGGCAGGGGCAGGGGCAGAGGCAGAGGCAGAGGCAGGGGCAGAGGCAGAGGCAGGGGCAGGGGCAGAGGCAGCGGCAGGGGCAGAGGCAGGGGCAGGGGCAGGGGCAGGGGCAGGGGCAGAGGCACCGGCATATAAAACGGAGGAGACCAGCAGTGCAGCAGCAAGCAGCATGGCAGGATTGAGCCACGCAGTGGGCACCAGAGAGACCAGCAGAACCACGACTACAAAGAGCATTGACACAAGGATTGCGACAACGTTCTCGGTTCTTGCAGCAGCAGAAGTGAGCAGCGCAGCAGGGACAAGCATCACCGGAGGTCGGATGTGCAGTGCGGTGGAGGCCGGTGCTATGATCTCTTGAGCGGTGCGGAGCGGTATGGAGATCAGCAGCATCACGGCAAAGACTGCAGCAGTGCCGAGTACAGCCGTAAACACCATTTCAGGCAAACTGAGCGATTCCGACTCACTTCCGGATCCTTCAGGGGGGTTTGGAGGGGTCAGCGGCTTCAGGGACTCAATAAGGGAGCATAACTCGATATGGAGTGATTCTAAGCGAGTCAGCGTGTACAGTGAGGGAGGAAGCTCCTGTAGCTTCTCGCACCGCGACAGAGTCAGCTTTTCAAGGCATGCTGGCAGGCTGCCTTCACAAAATTTCTCGGGCAGACGCTCTAGTGCGGGCAGATCCAGCTCGAGCGTTTTTAACAGGGGTAAATTACCCAGGCTCTCGGGCAATGCCCGGATATCACCAAGGTCGAGGAGATTTAGGGTTTCCAGATGGGACAAGGCGCCGATGTGGTGTGGGAGGGAGGTGAGGGAGCGGCAGTAGGAGATGGAGAGGCAAGAGAGAGGGAGGAAGCAGATGATCTCTGGGAGAATCTCGAGGGAATCACAGCAGTTGAGAGACAGTTGGTGCAGCTGAGTCAGCCCCGCCATAACATTTCCGGGCAGGCATCGTAGACGCTTGGATTGGAGCGAGAGGTTTTTCAGCCCGGTCAGCAGTTGAAAGGATTCCGGAATGCTCTCGAGTCCAACGAGATCGATTTCTAGGGTTTCCAACAGAGCTAAATCGCCAATTTCGTCAGGAAGCTTCGTGACAGTTTCCGACCAGAGGTTACTGATGCTCAGCGTGCGGAGGTTGCTAAGAAGGCCCACGCACCCATCGAGACCGCGGAAATTCGCTCCCGCGCTGATCCGCAATTCCCGCAGCTGCTGCAGCGCGCCGATGCTCTCGGGCGGCGAAACGAGCTCCTGTAACGAGTCTTCGCCATGGTGAATATTCGAGCACACGTGGAGGGTTTGGAGATCTGTTAGGAGCGAGAGAGACGCCGGGAGATGCGGGAGGCCGTTGGTGGTGAGTAGCCGGAGATCCCTTAGCTTGCGGCAACCACGGAAGAGCGACGCGAGGCCGTCTACAGTAACCGACATTTCAAACTGATGCTCCACCGTTAGATGGAGCAGGCGCGGACACGTGGCGGCCAGACATTTGAAGAGCGCGTCGCCGTCGGCGGATAAGATGGAAAATTGGCCCAGCGACACGTGCGTGAGGGCGGGGAAGCGGTGGAGCGCGGAAAGAAGGTGCGGGAGCGGAAGCCACGCAAGCTGCGCGTTGCGGAAGTGCTCTGGATTGTGTATCTCCAAAAGGAAGGTCTTAAAGCCGCGATGCTGCACGGTCAAATGGGAGAGCGCGGCCGTGGAAAGGCGGAGCCAGCGCTTGGAAACGAGCGCGTGGCGGAAGGAGGTCTGCGCTAGCGAGCGGAGGACGAGCGCGAGAACGTCATCAGGGAGGCGCTCCAGGGGGAAGGGCGGCTCGGTGCGCGCGGGGGAAACCATGGATTTTAAGCGGCTAAGGAAAGAAACTAACGCCATTGCGTGGATTTCTAAAGAAGTGTGAGCAGCTTTGTTGCTATGAGGAGTCTGGTCTAGAGTAGAGGAACTTCTCTTCATCAGAAGTAAATGCTGGTCTAGGGTAAAGGAACTTGGAACGTGGAACATCCTGCGAGTCGAGGTCCAGACTTCGAAAGAAGGTTGTATACGGTACACTTGATTGCTAGTTTGCTTCAACACGATTTAGTACGTTTCAGGGCGTTGACGGCCCCAACACATGGATTGCTGGGCTGGAATTGGTTGGGGGCGATGTACTGCGAAGTTGTTGGGGTTGGTGGGGAGAAATAAAAATGACGTGGCAGTAAGAAATAGTCCAGCGCGGAAGAATTCCCCAGCTATCCAGCGCAGCATTTTGAATTCGAGTCAACTCCGTCAGCTTCTTCAAGGCAATTGGTTTCAAGCCGAATATGCTCGATTATTTTGGGATTCCTTACTGCTCACCTCAGCAAATCGTACAAGACCAACCTTTTTGGGTTGCGTAGCAACCCCTTTACAATTTGGAGCACTTTTTTCGGTCGACTCAAATGAACAGTGCAGTTTTTGTCTCTTTTCCAACGCCCGAAGCACTCGATTTAACGTTTAAAAAAAACGGGTGCTCCAAACACGTCTAGATGACGGCACTGATACATACGAGTCTCCAAAAAAGTGAAACCAAATGTAACCAATCATTCCATAATCGTCGATAAATACGGCGACTGGAAGAATTGGTCGTCATGTTTTTACCTACATAAAGCAGAACTGACGAGACGAAACACAGTGGATGCACATTATGGTACTTGCATCCATTGAACACGTACAAAAACGACAACACATGACAACTGTGACTGTCATAAAATGAATGCTAAAATGCATCGGTACTACAATAGCGATGGATCCGGTATGCTAAGGCGAGCAACGCTGCCCCAACAACGATCCCCACCTCAATTGCAGGCCCGACACACTTTAACATCACACCTTACAACAAAAATGAACGAGCACATAACAAAAACGACAACACATAACAATTGAAGCGTCTTGGGGAGAATGCTAAAATGCATCGATGATGCAACAGAGATTGGTCTGGCACGCTAAGGCGATTGCCCCACCGGCGATCACAACCTGAGTTGCATACACGAGGCACTTCAGCACACGCCTTGAGACAGACACAAACAACTGTACATATCTCACACACAGGCTCACAAGCACACGTACACACCGACACAAACGCACACACTGACACACACGCAAACAAGCACAGAAACATGCAGATAATAATAAACACGCAACCATCATGAAATTCGGCTATTCATAAATCATCGCTAGCCAATTACCCCTTACCGTCCTTACAACCCTCCCTCCCTCCCTCCCTCCCTCTTTCCCTCCCTCCCTCCCCCTCTCATCTCCCTCCCACTGCCTCCCTCGTCTCCCTTCTCCGCCAATCAAAATTAAAGAATGCAGCTCCCGCGCCCTGCACAAAGCAAAATCAGAGAATGCAACACACATACCCTGCACAAGAAAACAGAGTACAAAGAGTACACCTCACAGCATTGCTACAAGAGAACAAAAACAGAGAATGCAGCTCACACATGCACTAGAGACGAAACAAGCACAATAGAAAGAGCTGTTTAAGAACGCATGGATCAATAAAAATTGAGCAATGGTTTTCACAACTTACAAAGGTAAACTGGTATCAGTCGTGGCACCACAGATACTACGCCAGCATGATGCGATCCCTTGCAGCCTCCCTCGTGTTCAACTTCACACTCACGTTCACACTCACTATTGTATTCAATCTCGCACCCACTCACACCCGCACAAATACTCCCAACTTTCTTCGACACACACACTCATATAAACACGCATAAGAACCTACACGCTCACTTTGGCACTTACCCTCGCACTCATAAGCGTTATCACTCACGCTCGCTCGCACTAACCATCGCTTTTGCAGTCACATTCACTCTCGCACTTGCTCTCACGCTTGCTCTCGTTCTCATTCTCACCCTCGCGCTCACCCAAACACTCATCCTCGCACTTGCTCTCACATTCACCCCCATACACACACTTACGCGCACCCTTGCACTCACCCTCGAGTGCATGCGCGCACTCACTCTCGCAGTCACACCCGCCTTTGCAATCGGATTCAAAACCGCACTCGCACCCTCGCACTCTCTCGTACTCACTCTCGCAACAACTCACGTCACATAATTAATTTCAGCCGTTCTTAGACACACTAACAGAAACACACACACACCCTCGCACTCACCTTTAAATTCGCGCTTGCGCTCACTCTCGAACTCACTCGAACGCTTTCACAAAAACACGCACACAAAGTCGCCCGCACCCTCAAACTCAACTCACACTCACACCCACACTCATGCTCACAATTGCCCTCGTACTCACACTTGCACTCACTCTCCTACTTGCCCTCGCACACACCATCTCACACCCTCGCACTCACACCCGCGATCACACTTGCGCTCAACATCGCAGTCTCCATCGCACTTACTCTCGCACTCACACTCACGCGCACCCTCATGCGCACCCTCATGCGCTCTATCACGCGCTCTCTCACGCGCTCTCTCACGCGCACTCTCACGCGCATTCTCACCCACTCTCACGCGCATTCTCACTCACTCTCACGCGCATTCTCACCCGCTCTCACACGCTCTCTCACGCGCACTCTCGCGCGCACTCTCGCGCGCACTTTCCCGCGCTCTCTCACGCGCTCTCTCACGCGCTCCCTCACGCGCTCACTCACGCGCTCTCTCACGCGCACTCTCACGCGCTCTCTCACACGCACTCTCACCCGCACTCTCACGTGCTCTCTCGCGCGCACTCTCGCGCGCTCTCTCGCGCGCACTCTCGCGCGCTCTCTCGCGCGTTCTCTCGCGCGCTCTCTCCCGCGCTCTCTCCCGCGCTCTCTCACGCGCTCTCTCACGCGCTCTTTCACGCGCTCCCTCACGCGCTCACTCACGCTCTCTCTCACGCGCACTCTCACGCGCACTCTCACGCGCACTCTCACGCGCACTCTCACGCGCCATTCACGCGCTCTCTCACGCGCTCTCTCACGCGCTCTCTCACTCGCCCACGGTGCCAGCACCCTCGAATCGCGCCCCCACGGCGCAAGCGCCTAAGCGCAAGTGCCTATGGCACAAGCGCGCACGGATACTTTCGCTCCTGCCTCTCCATCCCACGCTCCCACCTGCACGCTCTACCACCCTCTCTTGGCTCTCACACGCAATCTCTTGCGTGCTCGCTCTCGTGCGCACGCTCTCCTCGCGAACCCCTCTCGTTCTACTTCAAATGGGACTGCAATGCAAGAGACTAAGACACAAGACTTACGACGAGAGCAAAAAAAAAAAAAAAAAAAAGATGGGGAGGGAGGATGAAAGGACCGGGAACACACCTGATAACCACGGTGCCAGAAACCAACCCACGCTCTCGCACCAACCCGCGCTCGCGCACCAACTCGCGGTTGCGCCCGTGCACCTGTCGCCGGAGGCGACTACGGGGTGGGAGGGAGAGGCGACGGCGGGGAGGAGGCGACGGCGGGGAGGAGGGAGAGGCGACGGCGGGGAGGAGGGAGAGGCGACGGCGGGGAGGAGGGAGAGGCGACGGCGGGGAGGAGGGAGAGGCGACGGCGGGGAGGAGGGAGAGGCGACGGCGGGGAGGAGGGAGAGGCGACGGCGTGGAGGAGGGAGAGGCGACGGCGGGGAGGAGGGAGAGGCGACGGCGGGGAGGAGGGAGAGGCGACGGCGGGGAGGAGGGAGAGGCGACGGCGGGGAGGAGGGAGAGGCGACGGCGGGAGGAACGGAGAGGCGACGGCGGGAGGGAGGGAGCGGCGACGGCGCGGTGGGAGGGAGAGGGGATGGCGGGGTGGAATGGAAAGTGGATGGCAGGGTGGGAGGGAGCAGCGATGGAAAGGTGGGAGGGAGAGGCGATGACGAGGTGGGTGGGAGGGTGAGGCAACAGGTGGTGGGGAAGGAGAAGCGATGACGGGGTGGGAGGGAGTGCCTCCAAACAAGAAACTACAGTAACCGAAATGGGAGAAGGGAGGAGGCATGAAACACAACACGAAAAAGACGATGGGGCAAAACGAAAACACTGAACAGAATTTGCGCACCTCCCAGAAAAAGACGACGCATGAAACACTTCGTATATAGAAACCCGAAAACGATGGGGCAATCTGAAAGCCAGCACAGAACTTGGGCACTTGGAATCTAAAAACAAAAAACCAAACGCTGATGCCACGTGAGAACACACGCATAATCACGTGGAATTTGTGTGAGCTGGAAACACACTTTTGCTAGAACAAGAACCTGGTAGTTCAGTGTTACAAAATATCATGTTGAAGATATAAAACATAGTTGTTCACTAAATTTAAATAATACTTAATAGAAACAATCAATGGCTCTATATAAATTCACCCATATTTTAGAAAAGAAATCATAAACAATCACTTTATTCCATAATCAAGAACTAGCTAGCCTGTCATACTCGTTAACACATGAAAATTAAACTTGGTGCTATATAAATACATTAAATAGCTTGTCCTCATGTTCTGTAAAATATGAATGTAACATCTACGCAACCCTTCCGACGTTAACGTCGAATCTTGTTCTTCTCCCGTTAGTGCTTAAATGTTCGTCACTTAACGAGTCTGCCTACGCTTCAGGACTAGCCCGAACCTCGCTGCCTGCTTCACACTACCTAGCTTGCACGCACCGAACTAGCTAGCTTATCCTTTGCTCACACATGCCAATTAGAACTGCCGGCGCTAATTATAGGCATGCGCTTATATCGGGGAGGAGACGGTATCACCCGTGAGAGTTTTGATGTGCATGCAGCTGTGCGTTTGGATGAATGAAGAGCACATGAATTGTACTTGCTAAAGCGGGACTTGTTTTTCTATAACATGTCACGGTTACGGCGTGCTGTCATCTTCACCATCCATACAGCTTCGCATAGAGAATCCCCTTGGAAGAGAGGCTTGGCTAGCATAAATTAAGCGAATAATTCACAATCAGTCACAAAAGGGGTTGTTGTAATAAGCAGGTTTCTATCAACAACCTCCTACACCACATCTGTTTGTACTTTAACATGTACAATGCACAATCCTCACGAATCATCACGACTCACAACAAGCGGGCTGTTCTCTTCCATCTCCCCGACACACCACCCGTATGCTAACCTGCACGATCGCCGAGCTAAGCCAACCGTCCAAGTGCAGGCACCCTGCAGCACAGAACAGCCATTATTTATTGACAACAGAGCCAGCTGCAGCAATGAATCCAGCAGCCTCAGAAGCAGAAACAGAGGCTTGACATGCAGCAGCAGCCACATTCTCCCAGACCGCACACCGGGAAGACATTCAACCGGAGATAAGGCTGAATCGGCCCCCACCCCCTCCAAATCCAGATGTTGCAGCTTGGGCAGTTCCTTGCCTGATAAGTCCAGGAGATTATTCAGGTTGCCCAGGGAGTGTAGGGTGAGCGTGTGAAGGGAGGGAAGGAGAAGTTTTATGGAAGGGAAGAGATGAGCGGGCAGTGGGAAACTTCTAGTTCGGTGAGGGATACTAGGCCCGGGTGTCGTTCGGTGATTTCTGTTGTAGAATTGAAGAGAGGGATAGATACACAGGCAGAGGCAGAGGCAGAGGTAGAGGCAGAGGCAGAGGTAGAGGCAGGGGCAGAGGCAGGGGCTGGGGCAGGGGCAGAGGGCCTGGACTCACCTCCAGACTCACAGTGCATTATTTCAGCCAGGCTGAAGGACCCCGACTCACTTCCAGACTCACTTCCGGATCCTTCGGGAAAGGTTGGTGGGGTCAGCGGCTTCAGAAACTCAATAAGGGAGCATGACTCGATATGGAGTGATTTTAAACGAGTCAGCGTGTACAGTGAGGGAGGAAGCTCCTGTAGCTTCTCGCACCGCGTCAGAGTCAGCTTCTCCAGGCACGCTGGCAGGCTGCCTTCACAAAATCTCTCGGGCAGATGCTCCAGCTCGAGCGATTTCAACCGGGGTAAATTACCCAGGCTTTCAGGCAATGCCCGGATATCAACAAGGTCGAGGAGCTTTAGGGTTTGCAGGTGGGACAATGCGCCGATGTGGTGTGGGAGGGAGGTGAGGGAGTAGAAGTGGGAGATGGAGAGGGAGGAGAGGGGGAGGAAGCAGATGCTTTCTGGGAGAATCTCGAGGGAAGCACAGTGGTAGAGGGAAAGATGCTGCAGCTGAGTCATCCCCGCCATAACATTTTCGGGCAGGCATAGCAGACTCTCGCATTGGAGCGAGAGGGTTTTCAACCCGGTCAGCAGTTGCAAGGATTCCGGGATGCTCTCTAGACCATCCACTTTGATTTCTAGGGTTTCCAGCAGAGATAATTCGCCAATTGCGTCAGGAAGCTCCGTGATAGTTTCTGGAAAGAGTTCACCGCTAGCAATGCTCAGCTTGCGAAGGGTACCACGCAAAAGGCAAACGCTCTGATCGAGTCCGAGACCGCGGAAACACAGTCCCACGCCGATCCCCAACTCGCGCAGCTGCTGCAGCGCGCCGATGCTCTCGGGCGGCGAAACGAGCTCCTGTAACGAGTGGTGGCCATAGCGAGTATGCGAGCACACGTGGAGGGTTTGGAGATCCGTGAGGAGCGAGAGGGACGCCGGGAGATGAGGGAGGTCGTTGGTGGTGAATAGCCGGAGTTCCCTTAGCTTGCGGCATCCATGGAAGAGCGACGCGAGGCCGTCTACAGTAACCGACATTTTAAACTGATGCTCCACCGTTAGATGGAGCAGTCGCGGACACGTGGCGGCCAGACAGTGGAAGAGCGCGTCGCCGTCGGCGGATAAGATGGAAAATCTGCCCAGCGACACGTGCGTGAGGGCGGGGAAGCGGCGGAGCGCGGAAAGAAGGTGCGGAAACGGAAGCCACGCAAGCTCCGCGTTGCGGTCGACCTCAAATGGATGTGTCTCAAATATAGAATCATTGTTCGATTTAAACCCGCGATGCTGAATGGTCAAGTGGGAGAGCGCGGACGCGGAAAGGCGGAGCCAGCGCTTGGAAACGAGCGCGTGGCGGAAGGAGGTCTGCGCGACCGAGCGGAGGACGAGCGCGAGCATGTCGTCGGGAAGGCGCTCCAGGGGGAAAGGCGGCTCGGTGCGCGCGGGCGAAACCATGGTTTTAAGGCGGCTAAGGAAAGGGACTAACGCCATTGCGTGGATTATTGAAGAGGGCGAAAATTCCGGAGCGGAAGCTCAGTTGCTCGAGTCTGAACGAAACACTACAAGTGTGATCAAGAAAGTTGTGTGTGCGGGAAATATGGACTGGCTGGCAGTTCGCGTAAAATAAACTCGAGGTAAAAGTTGGTGGGTTGGTTGGCAGGAAGAGTAGAGTGAAATGACGTGGCAGTCATTAAAGTCAATCATCCGAAACCCTGCCCCGAACCATTGAGAGCAGAGCTTTGACTTCGAGTCAACCTTGATACTCTTTTCAAGATCACCCGTTTTAAGTAAGATTCGAGTGTTTCATAATTATACATTACGCATACTAATCTATGTTACTTCCTAAAAGTAAAAGCATTCCCTGGGACATATATTCGTATTTCTAGAGACTCTCTTTGCGCAAGGGCAAGGTTAAGTGCAATTATCTACCACAGTACCAAGCTTTTGTTCAAGCTCGCGAGTCACAATACGTCTTCATCGCAAGGCATAACCTACCAGTAAATCGTATAAAAAAAAACGTCTTCTTCAAGACGATGTTTCGAAGTACAAAAGGATTTTGAGGTGACTCTGCCTCCTCCACCTCCCACCAGAGAAATCCACCACCCACTTTTCCTCCCACATTCCGAATGGCACACCGTATTCCCTTTCACTTTCACCTCTGCTCCAGCTCCTGCTTCCTACACAGTCCCCAGCTACCCTGATTGCAATCGAGAGCACATGAGCAGCAGAATGAAGCTCAAACCCACCTATAAACTCCCCCTCAAGCTTGCTCCCCAGCGATGCTAAATCCTCTACTCTCAACTCCCCCACACTTCCTTCCCCCCTTTCCCCCCCCCCCCACCCACCCCCTCCGTCATTTTGAACACCTCACTTCCACCGCTGCTTCAGCTCCTGCTTCCTAGACAGCCCCCAGGTCACCACAATCGCAATCGACAGCACAGCAATCGTGCCCAGCAGCAACGCGAAGCTGAACTCGTCCCCTCGCCTCCCTCACCTTCCCCACCCCCATCCTCCTCTCCTCACTTCCACCGCTGCTTCAGCTCCTGCTTCCTAGACAGCCCCCAGGTCACCAAGATGGCAACGGACAGCACAGCGATCGTTCCCAGCAGCAGCGCAAAGCTGAAATCGCCCCCTCGCCTCCCTCACCTTCCCCCACCCCCATCCTCCACTCCTCACTTCCACCGCTGCTTCAGCTCCTGCTTCCTAGACAGCCCCCAGGTCACCAGAATCGCGATCGACAGCACAGCAATCGTCCCCAGCAGCAGGGCGAAGCTGAAATCCTCTCCCAGGGAGTCAAAGACGCGAGAGGGGGCGGTGCGCACAAAGAAGAGGTCCAGCCCGTGAGCCAAGACAAGGGTGGTGGACTCCAGGCGCGTGGGGAAGGACAGGATGTGCCTCAGCCCCTCTATGCGGTAGCGGTGGGTGAGGTAGGCCTGGGGGAAGAGCAGAGCAGGGGGAGAGGAGGAGACGGAACAGGGAGGGAGAGGAGTGTGAGTTTCATTCGAGGGAGTAAAACACTCAAGAAGGGGCGGTGCGAACAAAGAAGAGGTCCAGCCCGTGAGCCAAGACAAGGGTGGTGGACTCCAGGCGCGTGGGGAAGGAGAGAATGTGCTTAAGGCCTTCGATGCGGTAGCGATGGGTCAGATAGGCCTGGGGTTGGGGGCATTGGGAGCAGGGAGAGCAGGGGGATAGGAACAAGGCATTGGAAGCAGCGTGGGCGAGCACGAGGGTGGTGGACTTGAGGCGCGCGGGGAAGGACAGGATGTTCTTCAGGCCTTGGATGCGGTAGCTATGGGTCAGATAGGCCTGGGGGAGAAATCAGCGGAAGAATGGGCAAGTCGGGGTTGGAGCAGGTGGCGGGGAGGGGACGGGGGCAGAAAGCAAGAGGTGAGTTGTGTGGCAGAGCAAAGCTGAAGTCCTCTCCCAGGGAGTCAAAGACGTGAGAGGGCGGGTGAAAGGAGTGTTTTTGAGACTTCTCAAGAAAGCAAGAGGTAAGTAGTGTGGCAGAGCGAAGTTGAAGTCCTCTCCCAGGGAGTCAAAGACGTGAGACTCGCCATAACACATGACTCACCTGCCCCGGAGCGGGCAGCGAGTCACTGTAAGGCATGATGCCCGCCTCCTTGTGCTGCTATGATGCATTCAAAGTGATGTTTGCTATAGATAGCAGCTTGTTACTCGTTATAAAGCACTACACACCTGGCCAGGAGCAGGCAGCGAGTCACTGTAAGGCATGATGCCCGCCTCCTTGTGCTGCTGTGATGCATTCAAAGTGATGTTTGCTATAGATAGCAGCTTGTTACTCGTTATAAAGCACTACATACCTGGCCAGGGGCAGGCAGCGAGTCACTGTAAGGCATGATGCCCGCCTCCTTGTGCTGCTGTGATGCATTCAAAGTGATGTTTGCTAAAGTTAGCAGCTTGTTACTCGTTATAAAGCACTACACACCTGGCCAGGGGCAGGCAGCGAGTCACTGTAAGGCATGATGCCCGCCTCCTTGTGCTGCTGTGATGCATTCAAAGTGATGTTTGCTATAGTTAGCAGCTTGTTACTCGTTATAAAGCACTACACACCTGGCCAGGGGCAGGCAGCGAGTCACTGTAAGGCATGATGCCCGCCTCCTTGTCCTGCTGTGACGGCTCAGGCACCCTGCGGGGGTCCAGGAATCGACGGTCGAGAGCAAGGACCTGAAAAGATCAAACGAACAGAAAGTCGGGACAGAGTGGTGAGTGAGGGAGACGAGAATCAGGTGAGTCAACAAAAACTATGCACACCAAGACAAGAATAAGCGGACGCTACAAAACACTGTGCCTAAAATAAACTCTACACCAAACTCTCGCCTGCCCCCCTCACCTGATCAAGTGCTGTACCAAAGAGCACATGCTTGTTCGTGATCCCCGCCAGCGTGGAAGTCAAAAATCACTTCATACCCCCCATCTCCCCCACCCCCCAGCCACCCTCACCCTCACCCTCACCCTCACCCTCACCCTCACCTGATCAACCCTCACCCTCACCCTCACCCTCACCCTCACCTGATCAAGGGCTGTACCAAACAGCACATGCTTGTTGGTGATCCCCGCAAGGGTGGAAGTCTGTTGAGACGTCTCAAAAGTCGTCTGACGACTGAATTCTTTCCCCCCTCGCCCATCCCTCACCTGATCAAGGGGTGTACCAAACAGCACATGCTTGTTGGTGATCCCCGCAAGGGTGGAAGTCTGTTGAGACGTCTCAAAAGTCGTCTGACGACTGAATTCTTCTTTCCCCCCTCGCCCATCCCTCACCTGATCAAGGACTGTACCAAACAGCACATGCTTGTTGGTGATCCCCGCAAGGGTGGAAGTCTGTTGAGACGTCTCAAAAGTCGTCTAACGACTGAATTCTTCTTTCCCCCCTCGCCCATCCCTCACCTGATCAAGGGCTGTACCAAACAGCACATGCTTGTTGGTGATCCCCGCAAGGGTGCACTCCCCCCCCCCCCCCCCTTCCCCTTGTCGAGCGCCGTGCCAGAGGAAACACGCTTGCTGGTTTTCGAGACACTCACTACTTGCTTGCCCCTCACCTGATCGAGAGCTGTACCAAAGAGCACATGCTTGTTCGTGATCCCCGCCAGCGTGGAAGTCAAAAATCACTTCATACCCCCCATCTCCCCCACCCCCCAGCCACCCTCACCCTCACCCTCACCCTCACCCTCACCTGATCAAGGGCTGTACCAAACAGCACATGCTTGTTGGTGATCCCCGCAAGGGTGGAAGTCTGTTGAGACGTCTCAAAAGTCGTCTGACGACTGAATTCTTCTTTCCCCCCTCGCCCATCCCTCACCTGATCAAGGGGTGTACCAAACAGCACATGCTTGTTGGTGATCCCCGCAAGGGTGGAAGTCTGTTGAGACGTCTCAAAAGTCGTCTGACGACTGAATTCTTCTTTCCCCCCTCGCCCATCCCTCACCTGATCAAGGGCTGTACCAAACAGCACATGCTTGTTGGTGATCCCCGCAAGGGTGGAAGTCTGTTGAGACGTCTCAAAAGTCGTCTAACGACTGAATTCTTCTTTCCCCCCTCGCCCATCCCTCACCTGATCAAGGGCTGTACCAAACAGCACATGCTTGTTGGTGATCCCCGCAAGGGTGCACTCCCCCCCCCCCCCCCTTCCCCTTGTCGAGCGCCGTGCCAGAGGAAACACGCTTGCTGGTTTTCGAGACACTCACTACTTGCTTGCCCCTCACCTGATCGAGAGCTGTACCAAAGAGCACATGCTTGTTGGTATCCTCCCCGCAAGGGTGGAAGTCAAAAATCACTTCATACCCCCCACCCCCCCCTCACGCTCACCCTCACCCTCACCTGATCAAGCGCTGTACCAAAGAGCACATGCTTGTTTGTGATCCCCGCAAGGGTGGAAGTCACCGAAATACACCTCAGCGCGTAGGGGAAGTAGTAACTCTGCCTCAGCCGCTTCACCCTCTCCCAGGGAATTTCCGCCGCAGAAAGCGGCGCTGTGAGGTTGGACGATCCAGGGATGCTGAGTCCGTATTTGAGGTAGTCTATAACGGGGACGTCCTTAAGAGAGGTATCGAGGAGCTCTATAGTGGAGACTTCGTGGCGAGAGGCTGCGGGGTTGAAGTAATGGTATACCACCCAGTTCTCCGCCATGACCTGACATAGAAAGCAAGAAACGGGATAGGGAGTAGTGGGACGAAGAGGAGGTACGGGTTTGCAGAAAGAACAAGATGAGAGGCAGCACGGTTGAAGTAATGGTATACCACCCAATTCTCCGCCATAACCTGCCAAGGAAATGAGGAGACAGGAGAACGAGCACAGGAGAGGGCAGAGGGAACAGGATGAGCTTCGCCATTACCTGCCCAGGAAATGAGGAGACCAGGGAAAAAAAAAAGCGCACAGGAGAGGATAGAGGGAACAAAGCTGAGGGGTTGGTTGAAGTGGTGGTATACCACCCAATTCTCTACCATTACCTGTGCAGGGAAATGAGGAGACGAGAAGAGTAGAGGAACCCCCAACCGCATACGGACCAACAGACTAGGCCCGTACAAACAGCCCCATGCAGACAGCCATGTTCAGGCAAGCCCCGAACCTCTCCCACACACTCACCGCGTGCACGAATCCCTGCATGCCCGCATGCACCACCCGCTCCACCACCTGCCCTCCCACCGTGTCAATCAGATACACCACCACCGCTCCCCCCTCCTCCCCTCCCACCCCCGCTCCCCCTGCACCCATGGCAACCCCAAACTCCTGTACGGACCAGCCCCGAACAAACAAGCCCCATACAGGCAAGCCCTTTACAAACCATGTAGACCCTTACACTCACCGCGTGCACGGGTCCCTGCATGCCCGAATGAACCACCCTCTCCACCACCTGCCCTCCCACCGTGTCAATCAAATACACCACCACCGCTCCTCCCTCCTCCCCTCCCGCCCCCACTCCAGCAGCAGAAGCAGAGGCAGCAGCGGCGGCAGGAGGCGTGGTGGTGGCGAGGAAGAGCAGGTTCTTGGAAAGCAGCTTGAACTGCACGCTGCGATCGCCCAGGGCCCGCACTTGTGTGTGCTGGGACTGAGAGGGGTTGGGGTGAAGGTTGGGGGGCGAGGGAAAATGTGTTTGTTTTGGGGGCAATTACAGGGCAAAGACATAAAGAGCAGGTTCATGGAAAGTAGCTTGAACTGCACGCTGCGATCGCCCAGGGCCCGCACTTGCGTGTGCTGGGACTGAGAGGGGGAGGGGGTGAGGGTGAGAGGTTGGGAGAGGGGAGGGGGATGTGGAGGGGATATGAAATGGCTTGTCTTGGGGCAACAACTGTTAGATTATACTACTCAAGTGACAGAAAGAGAAGGTTCTTGGACAGCAGCTTGAACTGCACGCTGCGATCACCCAGGGCCCTCACTTGCGTGAGCTGGGATTGAGAGGGGGAGGAGCACGTGGGAGGCGAAGAGTGGAGGCAATGGGGATTCGGGTTAACTGGGTCACTGGAGGTAACTAACAACAAGGCAAAGGCAGGAGCAGAGCAGGTTCTTGGAGAGCAGCTTGAACTGCACACTGCGATCGCCCAGGGCTCGCACTTGCGTGTGCTGGGACTGAAAGGGGAAGGGGGTGAGGGTGAGGGTTCGGGAGAGAGGAGGGGGATGTGGAGGGGATAGGAAATGGCGTGTCTGGGGGCAACAACAACTCAAGTGACAGGAAGAGCAGGTTTTTGGGAAGCAGCTGGAACTGCACGCTGCGATCGCCCAGGGCTCGCACTTGTGTGTGCTGGGACTGATATGGGTTGGGGCGAAGGGTGGGGGGGATGGGAAATGGAATTGATTTGGCGCAGAAATGGCAAAGACAATGCACACGCATGAACACCCATGCCCACACACACTCCACTAGCACACAACCCCCCTTTCCCTTTCCCCCCTGCCGTCACACACCCACACACCTCCTCTCTCTTAGGTGCAGCAATGGCCGAAATGACCTTCGAGTCAGCAGGTAGCACCACCCGCCACGCCACACCAACACTGCTCCATACACCCATGCACACCCATGCACACCCATGCACACCCATGCACACCCATGCACACCCATGCACGCCCATCCACACGCCCACCCACCTCCTCTCTCTTAGGTGCAGCAATGGCTGAAATGACCTCCGAGTCAGCAGGCAGCAGCACCCGCCACACCAGCACTGCTCCATACACCACACCCCTTCCCAACCTCCCATCATCGCTCCTCCCACCAATCCCACCACTGCCACCCTCCTCCTTCACCTCCTCTCCAATGCTATACCCCTCCACAGACCCCGTTATAGCATCCACCAGGTAAAAGAACACCTCCTTCTTGTGCCCTTCAAACAGCCCCCTTGCCTCCTCCGTCCCAGGGAATACATGAACCCGCACAGGCTCGTACCGCCGCGCCTTCCCCCCTTCCCCTGCTGCTGCACCTCCCTTCTCTAGCCCTTCCTGTCCCTGTCCTTTCCCACCTGTCTCCGCTTTCCCCTCTCTATGTTCCTCCTCCTCGTTCCTCTCTACCTTTTCGACCAGCATTACCAGCCGCCGCTCGTCTTTCCCCACCAGGGGCAAGGGGGCAACGAGACGGGGCACAAAGGGCAGGCCCTTCGATTCAAGCACATCCCCCGTGTGTCCATTCACTACAGTCACTAATGCAGCATGTGCAACCTTCCTATCCCCCCCCGCCTGCTGCTCCTGCTCCTGCTTCTGCTGCCTGATTTGCAGCACCAGAGCTTCAGGTGTTTGGTCAGGTGACGTGCGGTGGGGGTCCCTCCACAGCACCAGCGCTTCAGGTGAAAACACAGACGCGCCCATTCCACCTGAAGAACCACCTGACGGCAGCGCAGCAGCCCACAGCACCCGACCATCCCCAGAATGCAACGCAAACAGCTTCCCCATCCCGCCTCTGCTGTTTCCACCTGACGCTCTGCTGTCCCCACCTGGCGCGGTCAGCAGCAGAAGAATACGCCGAAACCCGTTCCTATCCCGGAAAGGCTTGATCTTTTCAGGGGAGGCGGTGCGCAGGCGATGCACCAACGCCTGTTCCTCAGCTGAGCCGAGATTGAGAGACGCCTTGGCTCTGAGCAGGTGTGTGCGAGCCCACTCGTAGATGTCATGCTCCACTGCTGCCACTGACAGCCCCTCCTCCTCCTCCGGGAGCTCTGCTATTGTTACTGCCACTACCGAGGCTAGAGCCTCTTCCCTCTCCCACACCACCTCACCCTGCAGCAGGGAACAGGGGAGGTGGGGGAGGAGCGGGACGTGAAAGGGGAGGAGGGGTACGGAGAAGGAAAGGTGTGTGAGAGAGGGAGAGAGGGGCACACAGGCCTCGAGAGACAGGACTTGGCCCTGAGCAGGTGTGTGCGAGCCCACTCGTAGATGTCATGCTCCACTGCTGCCACTGACAGCCCCTCCTCCTCCTCTGGTAGCTCTGCTATCGTCACTGCTACTACCGAAGATAGAGCCTCTTCTCTCGCCCACACCACCTCTCCCTGAAGAGACGGGGCGGAAACGGAACAGGTTGTTTGGAAGAGAGGGGAAAGGGAGGTCAGATAGGGTGCGTGTGGGCCCACTCGTAGATGTCATGCTCCACTGCTGCCACTGACAGCTCCTCCTCCTCCTCTGGTAGCCCTGCCACTCCCACTGCTACTATTGAAGCTAGAGCCTCCTCCCTCTCCCACACCACCTCACCCACCTGCTGCAGCAACGACAGACAGTAAGCCACTCCCTTCCTATCCCTCATCCACCAGCAATAAGAAGGATCAAGCGAGAAGGAAATGCAGCTAGTGATAACCCACCTGCTGAAGCAGAGACAACGAGTCATCCTCTCCCACCACCAGCAGCCTGAACCCAAACGCACCCGCCTTCCCCTCTCCTGCCCCTCCCGCCGATTTCTCCCCCTTGCCCCGCCCCCCCCCCCCTGCCCCTGCTGCCCTCGCATAGGCATTCAGGAAAACGCGAACAGGGGGGCCGCGGTGAGGTGGCACAGAGACAGAGTCCGAGAGCAGGGCAGGGGGGGAGGAGGAGGGGGGAAGCAGCTGGTGCACCTGCAGGGGAGAGGGAAGAATGGGAGAGAAAGGGAGGAAAAAAAAAAAAAAAAAAAAAAAAAAAAAAAAAAAAAAAAAAAAAAAAAAAAACGTTGAGGAAAACACGAACAGGGGGTCTACGATGTGGTGAGTGGGACAGAGACACAGGGGGTCCGGAAGAAGCTGATGCACGTGCAGGGGCGCGGGAAGAGAGAGAGAGCGAGGGAGGAAATGATAAGGCGGCGAGGGAGACGCAGCACAAGGGGCGTGGTGAAGTGGCACAGAGACAGTCAGAGAGGACAGGGGGCGGGAGTGGGGAGGAACATGGGGGGAAAAAGCAGGTGCAGGGAAACAAGGGGGAGAGAGGGGGCGTGGGGAGAGGCGGAGGAAAGAGGAGGTGAGGGGTGGGAGTGGAGTGCGGGAAGAGGGATAGGGCAAGGGAGAAGAAAACGTGTACGCCCACAAACTTACGTACACCCTCGCCTCTCCTCGCACCGCACCTGCATGTGGAACTTGAGGGTATCACTGCTGCCTTGCGAGCCCACAAGACCGGAATAGAAACTCCCCACTTCCCCTCCCTCCCCTCCTCCTCCTCCTGCCCCCGCTGCTCCTGGTGTTCCCCCCACGACGCTCGCACTAACAGCGCTCAACCCAGGGAACGAATCAACGAGCGACACCTGTCCTGCCGACCCAGCCTGCCCGTCTGCCGCCCCTGCCGACAGGAGAAACACGGCTCCTGGCACAGACAGCCAGAAGAAGCTTCCTGGAGCTTTCTCTGGCACCACAGCAGCAGAGACTCCTGACTGGTAGTGCTCCTTGGGTAAGAGAGAGGCAAGGGGGGTACTGTGCAATTGCACTGTAGCAGCTGTAACATCGGCTGTAGCATCCGCTGTAACAGAGGTAACCAGTGCAGCAGTAAGGATGTTACCAGAAGCCGAATCCACAGCCACCGCAGTGTCAGTCGCCGTGACAAACGCAGCAGGAGGAGGAAATGAGGAGGAAACGGAGGAGGAGGGAGGAGAGGCAGCAGAGGCAGTGATCTTCCCAGAGGCGCCATCGAGAGTGGTGAGGGAGAAGGAGAGGGAGGGGGAGAGGCTGGTAAGGAGGATGGGGCCGTGTGGGAGGAGGGAGATGGAGTGGGCATGGGTGGGCAGGGTAGCGGACCAGAGCACGTCGCCTGTAGCAGCTGACAGGCAATGCACCTCCGATGCTGCTCCTACTCCTGCTGCTTCTGGTTCAGCTGCTTCTGCTGGTGCTGATGCTGCTGCAGCTGATCCAAGGAGGACCACCACTCGGTCTGGTGAGGAACCGTCAGTGGCCTGAGATTGAAGGGGAAGGGCGAAAGGAAAGAATCCAGTGGAGTATATTATTGAGTGGTTCAGATGTCGATGCTGGCTCTAATCCTGTTCTGTCTGATGCTGCAGCTGATCCAAGAAGGACCACCACTCGGTCAGGTGAGGCACCATCAGTAGCCTTAGAGCGAATGGGGCGGACAAAAGGAAAGAGCTCATAAGCCACAGCAGAGACGACACTTGGTGCTTCGTAAGTTTCGCCCAAGACTAATAAGCACAACCCTATTCAGTACAAGACCAGTGAGCACAACCCTGTTCAGCGTAACCTACTCACTGGGATTGTGATGAATTTGGCAACTCCAGCTGCAGCAGCTGCAGGCAGTGGCAGCACTGTCTCCCATGCGAGAGTCCCATCAGGCACAGCCCACGCCCTCACTGCTGCTGCCTTGGTGCCAGACAGGGTGACGAGGTCTGGATGGGAAACATCAAACAGCGGAGATGGGATGGGATGGGGGTGGTAGGAACATTCAAGTAGCAATACCGAGGATGTGAGTCCCTTAAGACAATTGTCCATATCCGTGCGCACTCACATTTGCTACCCACATTCCTCCATTCAGTCACATCCGCTGCCCACATCTCTCCATCCACTCACATCTGCCGTACATGTTTCTCTAAACACTCACATCTGCCGTACATGTTTCTCTAAACACTCACATCTGCCGTACATGTTTCTCTAAACACTCACATCTGCCGCCCATATCCCTCTGATCTGAACACTCACATCACATCTGCCGCCCGTGACCCTCTAAACACTCACATTTGCCGCCCATATCCAGCGCATGGATGGTGTCCTTGTCCCCTAGCACACGGCGCCACGCTGCCACCCATATCAAGTGCGCGGAACGGCGTTGCAGGGGGAAAATATGCAGCGGGGGGAGGAGAGGGGGAAGGAAAGCGAAGAGGAGAGGTGGAAATGGGAACGGAGAATCAGTGATCCCGCCTTGCAGATTCGCGACAGGAAGCGCGTAAAGCGACGAGGAGAGATGAGCAGGGTCTTTTGAGGCGGATAGGATTCAGAACAGCCCTGGCTCGGCACTTAGAACATGCACGTTCCTGGTTGTTGTGGCATGCACAGCTCACCAATGTCCCCTGTGCGGAGGTTCAGGGCCGCAATGACGTTCCTGTCGGTGCCCACGAGCACGCGCTTGCGCTGCGAGGAGGTGAGGAACGCGGCGAAGCGAACCCCGCCTATGCGCGGCTGCACCCAGTCGTACGTCCCCACCTGGTCCTCGTATAGCCCGCTCACCCGCGCCACCCCCGCGGACAACACCACAGCCAGCACCAGCAGGAGCGGCAGCGGCCGCAGCAGAGCCATGATTGGCTGCTGGTTGTTTCAGCGATCAAGAGCAGCAGGTAGTTGATCCCGTCGCGATCGGCACGAAAGACGTCGGCTAGCTTCTAAGATACGGCGGAAGGCGAAAACCGGGGTGGGGGAAACCTGGGGTGGCTAGAACCTGGAGGAAGGGACGGGTTCAGAATGTGAGGGCGATTGAGGTGTTAAAGGAGGTGGGAAAGGTTGTGAGCGGCAGCACACACGAGAATGCTTATAGCGAGTAAATAGGGGTACCACACCCACATCTGCTTGAGCGACGGAGGCGGGATTCGCTAAAATCGGAACATAAAGTAGGCGAGCGGCAGCACACACGGGAGAATGCTTATAGCGATTATATACAGTTACCATACCTACGTCTGATTAAACGACGGAGGCGGGATTCGCTTAGATCGGAACATAAATAGATGAGCGGCAGCGCACACGAGAATGCTTATAGCGAGTATATAGGGTTACCACACCTACGTCTGCTTGAACGAAGGAGGCGGGGTTCGCTTGGATCGGAACATGAAGTAGGTGAGCGGTAGCACACACGAAAATGTTTGTAGCGAGTATATGGGGTTACCACACCTACGTCTGCTTGAACGAAGGAGGCGGGGTTCGCTTGGATCGGAACATGAAGTAGGTGAGTGGCAGCACGACCCCCACGAGCATCAACACCGCGCCCAGGATGTAACGGATGGGGCCAGGAGGCTCTATTTCCAGCAGCCGACGCGCCTGAAAGATAATAACGAATCAGGTTATAAGGAAAAACGTTACTAGAAGATTCTGGAACGCTTCGGATCTGCTCTGAGGACGCCTGAAGATGGACGAAAATGGACGAATGAACAGGCGTGACTGAGAAACTGAAGCGACTCTTGAGTGAGGTGAGGCGACTCGAAAGCTAGAAATGGTAAGTCGACTGAATAAATTGGTGAATCCAAGCAAGCGACTGCGAGAGACTTCGTCGCGGAAACAAAGAAACGGATTCTCAGACGGCCGTGATCTACTGGCTTAGCACGATGTCCGAAAAAACTGATCCATGGTTCCTCCTGCAAGCGACCTACAGATGGTCAGTGCATCGAATTTGCGAACAATGCCGCCACGCCATAACCTACAAGTTCATGTAATGGCTTGTAAGTGACAGCGTACCGGCATGATCGGGAGAAAGCAGGAACGGATGATCCGATCGGTGGATCCAGCGGCAGAGCACGCCCGAAACGTTCGTGAAGTTCAAAACTGGCTCGGTGGGGAAGGGAGCACTATCTGCGAATGCTTGAAAGTTGTCTGCCGGGCGGAAGGGGTGAGCTCAAGAGAATGAGCTCGACAAGATCGAGGCCCGAATGTGAAAATGTGCAGAACGTGAAATAGAGATTGTCCTGATTCAGAAGTACAGCAAACCCATTAAAACTCGCGTACTCATGTAAAATACAATTTCTTTCTATCCAGCTCTATTCCTATTTGGAAAACTGGCAAGATACCAAGCTCCAAATTTCTGTGACATCAATCACTATGAAGCAACTCAGACACCACCCAGCTGCTCCACACTAGCCCATCCGCCTCCAACAGACTAATAACATGTCTTCTAATACCCTACTAACCACATCACCCTACACTAGCCACAACCCCAACAGTTCACCTGCAAATGAATCTCACAATAAGTGACCTCCTGTCATTCAGGAAAGTCCTAGAACGTCTTCAGGGCCTTTATGATCTTGACTCCCACGGTCCACCTCCAGCTCCTTAACTCCTGGAGAGCATTACCTCCTGCATCGTGCCACCTCTTTATGTCACCGCGATGAACTACTGTAGTGCCACCCCTGGTAGTTCTTCCTATGCCATAACTGGGGAATCCAACATCCAACATCACAGCACTAACACCCCTGCCCTCCATCCACCCCCCCACCCCCACTCACCTCTCCACACCCCTCATCACAAAACTGAAGGCTAGAGTCTACTAATGCTAATCTCAACAATGCACAAAAACCTACGCTGAAGTCTGCTAATGCTGATGCTGCTACACTTTCCACCTGCTGCTCTCTCTTAGAGCATCCCCTTCCAACCCCCCATAACTTCCCCCGTGCCCCCAAACCTAAGCCACCTCGTTGCTGCAGCTTCTTCAAATCCCGCAAAATCCTCGCCAGACCAACTCCTCTCCTCTGCTCCATGCCCAAAATCCCTGACCGCACCAGCGACATCACTCATAGGCCTCTCACGTCGAAATTACTCTGGGAACGCGATCTCAAGTGTGTGCTTAGCGCCGACCGTAGACCGTCGGCTGAAGGCCATGCTGAGGGGCTTTGGCGTATCCACTCCACAACGATGACCTGTCGCTCACAAACAACGCCTCCTACTCAAATGCCCAGTCGACTCGAAAGCCATCGCTGCACGCTAAGAGTCGCCCCTCTCTCTCATTCGACTCAAAGGCGTGCTTAGTTAACGGCGGCCGTTGATAGCGGTGTTGAGGGGCCGGAGAGTGTCGACAATATCACTCATCATGGGTCGCATATTCGTGTCGTCCTGAATGCAGTGCTTCGCCGAAATTGCCAGCGTCCGAGCCACCTTCTCCGGGAACGGGTCAATCAGGTTCGGGTCGACAAGGGACTCCAGGTCCGGCCGAGCCTTGTTGAGGTACGGGCGCGCCCAGGAGGTGAGGGTCTTGGGCTTGCCCCCAGGGCTGATTCCCATTGCCTTCTTGCCTGTGAGGAGCTCTAAGAGGACCACCCCATAGGCATACACGTCACTCTTCACTGTCAGCTGGCCTGTGGGGGACAGACACACAGGACAGGAGTGGGGGCTTGAGGCATTGCGATTCAATCCCTGTGAGGAGCTCTAGAAGCACCACCCCATAGGCATACACGTCACTCTTCACTGTCAGCTGGCCTGTGGGGTTGAGGTGCAAATGAGAGAGCGGAAGAGAGGAACATTGGTAGTGGCACATGTGAATGAGATCCAATCCCTGTGAGCACCACCCCAGCATAGACATTACTCTTCACAGTCAGCTGGCCTGTGAATGAGGATCATTGGTAGTGGCACATGTGAATGAGGAACATTGGTAGTGGCACATGTGAATGAGGAACATTGGTAGTGGCACATGTGAATGAGGAGCTCTAAAAGCACCACCCCAGCATAGACATTACTCTTCACAGTCAGCTGGCCTGTGGGGGACAGAGACACAGGACATGAGTGGAGCCTGAGGCATTGCGATTCAGTGCCTGTGAGGAGATCTAGCAGCACCACCCCGTAGGCATACACGTCACTCTTCACTGTCAGCTGGCCTGCGGGGGTTGAGGCGTATCGATCGAACAGAGAAAGAGACACAGCAGTGACACATGTGAATGCAACTGAATGCTTAAGAGCAGCGAATCTCAGGTCCATGTACCCAGTGATGCCCATGCCCTGCATCAACACATGCCATGCCCATGTGACCCGTGCCTCAACATACCAACTATTCCTCCATACCACAAGCAGCAGCACACCTGCTTCAAGCCATCAAGACCATCGTACCTACCTCACCATATCCTAACCAGCAGCACACCTGTCTCAGCGTATCGCGGGTCAAGGTACCCCATGGTGCCCATGATCAGAGTCGACACGTACCATGCCCATGCAACCCATACCTCACCATACCAATTACCCTGCCATACCACAAGCAGCAGCACACCTGCTTCAAGCCATTAAGACCATCGTACCTACCTCACCATACCCCAACCACCGCCCTACCTGTCTCAGCATATCACGGGCCAATGTACCCCATGGTGCCCATGATCTGAGTCGACACGCGCGTCTGCCCTGCCCATGTGACCCGAATCATCATGCCATACCTACCAGCTTACCTATCGAACTGTACCCCAACCATCACAATCATACCTGTCTCAGCGTATCGCGGGTCAAGGTACCCCATGGTGCCCATGATCTGAGTCGACACGCGCGTCTGCCCTGCCCTGCCCATGAGGCCTGTATCATCACGTTATAACCACCATCACATCATACCACAAGCACCATCATACCTGTCTCAGCATACCCCAAGCACCATCGTACCTGTCTCAGAGTATCGCGGGTCAAGGTACCCCATGGTGCCCATGATCTGAGTCGACACGCGCGTCTGCCCTGCCCTGCCCATGAGGCCTGTATCATCACGTTATAACCACCATCACATCATACCACAAGCACCATCATACCTGTCTCAGCATACCCCAAGCACCATCGTACCTGTCTCAGCGTATCGCGGGTCAAGGTACCCCATGGTGCCCATGATCTGAGTCGACACGTGCGTCTGCCCTGCCCATGTGACCCATACCCCATCATACCACCTACCTCACCGTACCAAAAACAGCGGCACACCTGTCTCACCATACCCCAACCATTGGCCTACCTGTCTCAGCATATCGCGGATCCAGGTACCCCATGGTGCCCATGATTTGAGTCGACACGTGCGTCTGCCCTGCATCCGGCCCGTCCTTCGCCAGCCCGAAATCCGTCAACTTCCCCGCGTAGTTCTGCATAAGCACAGTGGGTCAAGGATGGGGACGGTTGGAGTGGGGTTCAGAGGGGTGGAGAGGGGTGGAGTGGGATGGGGAGGGGTGGAGAAGGCTCAGAGCAGCTTTTAGCTCCACAGCATCCGGCCCGTCCTTTGCCAGCCCAAAATCTGTCAACTTGCCAGCGTAATTCTGCACAATCACGGTGGGAGTGGTTAGCGGTGGTGACGGGTGGAGAGGGGTGGGAAAGGGTCAGAGCACGTATCGGGCTCCCATTCAACAGGCCCATTCTTCATCAAGCATGATGAGGGGTTGGGAACGAAGGGAGCAGGGGGTGGAAGGGGGTTGTGAGGCGTGGCGAGGGTAGGAGATAAAAGGTGTTGGGAGGGTGGGGGGGGGGAGGGGAGAGGATGTTGTGACGGGAGGGTAGGAGAGGGGTGGGTGGGGGGGGTCGTGAGGGGAGGGTTCAGAGTACCGTCAACCGGTAAGTTGGGGAGAGGAAATGGGTGGGTGGGTTAGGTTGGTGAA